TGTATGCTCATCAGTGGGAGGCTACACTGCAAACTGTAAGCAGTAACAAAAAGTATCTGTGGCACTTCCTCCTGATTTGCATTGAAGATTTAGCTTTGAGGTGTGTTTACAGTGAAAAGAAACCTCCTGCAACAGTGATGGAGTTTTTGTTTGCTTCTTTGTCAAGTAATTATTAATTTTTGTTCCTTTTTACTATAGTGCCTCTTGCAGAGGTCCTGCTTTTGTAGCCAAAAAATAATAAAAATCCCTATTTGTACCAGGATCCGGGATGTGTATGTGCAAGGTTTTCTTGCTATATACTGAAGCTATTAATGTATCTGTACTGGAGGAGATAGGCTGAATATACTCATTGATTCTCACTGCCTCAAGAAAACAAGACATTTCTGATAAATTAATGGTAATACTTTGGCTAACTAACTCATCATCATGGCTAAGCTTCACGAATGAAGATTTGGGGAGGGCTCTATCCACGTTTGTTGCAAGCGCATTGGTGGCTAAAAAGGCCAATATGAGACAGGCATGTCCGGTTGCAAAAGGCACAGCAGAAAGACTCCTTAGGTGGTAAATTCTGCAAGGCAGGATTCTTTCTGCGTTGTCTTTTCTCCTCAAGGGTGATCCTGCGTGCGTTCTCAAAGGCATCAGCAGCGTTATAGATGGTGTGTCTCCAGACCTCCCGATTGGAGGCCAGAGTAAACCAGTTATGATGATCAATATGGCCAAGGCTGAGATGTTGTTTCAGGGAGTCCTTGTATCTTCTCTTTGGGGCTCCTCACCGGCAGCCAGTGGCAAGTTCACCATAAAGTAAAATCTTAGGGAGGCGGTGGTCCTTCATCCTTGAGATGTGCCCTGCCCAGCACAGCTGTGTTCTCAGCAACATGGCCTCAATACTTGTGACTTCACGAGGAAGGCAGCCTCAGAGAACATGGTGCCGGTTACACACTCTTTTGGTCAGGTAAGCCCAGAACCGAAAAACATCTCTCAGGAGTTGGCTTCATGATCAAAAACTCTGTTGTTCCTAAACTCAAAAATCTGCCGACTGGTCATTCTGACCGCATTATCTCCCTATGCCTTCCACTACACAACAAGCAACACGTTGTCCTCTTTAGTATATATGCCCCAACTCTCCAAGCTGACCCTGCCGAAAAAGATAAATTTTACACTGACCTGCGCCACCTTACCCAAAAGGCTAACTAACTAGATTTCTCAGAATCGAACTGATTTTGGCATCTGGGTTAAAAAAATAAGCTTCTTTCAGGTTCCTGGACATTCAGTGAGAGAAAACTGTTTTAGGAAATTGAAAAGTGAAACTGTGCATACATGGAAACATGCATGCAGCTACATATGTAATTTTTTTTAATGTATATTGACTGTTTTATTGGAGCCAAAATAAAGGTTCAGTGCTTTTCAGAAAGTATTTGGGATTTATAATCAAATTGATTGGAAATATTTGATTTTAATAGAAGAAGATATTGCATTTTAGTTATATTAAAATATTTTTAAGAAGAGTGTTGAAATTTTTAAAATTTGAAATTATTTTTTAGGTTGACCTGCTCATTGAAAAAAATTCACTTTGAAAAGAATGCTTAAAAAAAATCACCCACTCTGCTGATTCCAGATTTTATAGTAAGCCTCACAGTATGGCAGCATCATTAAATAATTTTTAACTAGGAGTATTGTCAACCTCGTGTCAAAAAGTAGACAGGAAGTACAAATGTGAAGGTATCCTATTTGTAAATGTGAACATATTGTTTTGCATATGCAGGTCCAGATTTATTCCATTTAATTTTAGGCACTGACCTTAGAGATCTGCCTTGTCACTTTGAGTCCTTCTCCAGTTACACCCCAAAGGTCCTCCAGCGAGCAGTTAAAGACTGAGAGCATTGTATCACTATCCTGCCTGTAGCCCAAGTCTGCTGTGTCCTAACTTGGCATCTTGACATCTTGCACATCTTCACATTTTACTGTTGTAGGCACATTGCACATCTGATGCGTTCTCTAATCTCCCTTAATTTCCCCTGTCCATGAGCACAAACTTCCAAGGCAAACCCAAGGAGTTTTAGGTATGAGTGAGACAGAAGCTTCATCTTCAAGAACCCTAGAACAGTTGAAGAGCATGGCTGGGCAAGTGAGATCATTGTGCCAGGGGAAAATGCAGATACGTGTTTGCAGCTTGATGTACTGGTTAGCTGGAGCACACAATGAAAATGAAAACTGGCTCAAAGTTTGTTTAATAAAATTGAAGTAAGCGGTTATTTTTTCTGGCTGCTCTACCAGTTTGATAAAATTGCTGTTTGAGCTCTACTAAGCCAGTTGTCTCCTGTGCTAAGTTTTGTAAGGGGTGCATGTGGTTATGGCTGCATGTGCTCCTCTCAGTCTGCAACAAGAGTCACAGCTGCCATTTGATGGCCTTACTGGAAATGCACAAACCCACCCATTAGAATCCTGAGTAACATGCTGTAGTTAATGTGAATAGAGATATGTTAATAGTGGATATTTATACAGTTTCATTTGGGGTTGCAAGAAGCTGGAGATCAAAATTGTTTATCAGGAGCCTTCTAGCGGTGGTTATCTTAGTAAGGACAACGCCTTAAGGATCTATCCATGTACTCATAAATCTATGCCTGGAAAATATTATATTTAGAGTATAGTTAGATGCTATGAGTAGTAAAAAAAAGGAATCAACAGTTTTTGAATAGCAGTGATTGATACTACTGAATGGCTGTCTCATGAACAGATGCAACTGTGCAGTTGGCTAAAAGATCACCAGTGTAAATGGGAGTGTAGTCTGAAACAGATGTTTTTCCTTTTTTGGCTTATGAGGATTGTGTGGATGCTGCTGCTGATCCAAAAGGCTAGAAAAGAATCTCCTTTCCTATGGAGCCTTCAGTTTTTGTTTGTTCTGGATAGTAAAGTGCAATGGTACAAACTTGGCTGGTGCCAGTGTCCCTTCTGTGTCCTTGGGCTGACTCCTAAGTTGGCTCGTCTCTGCTGGTGCCAGACACCACAGAGGATGACAGCTGGGAGGACAGTGTAGTCGGAGAGGACAAGGGTGACACCAGATATGTATTTTCTAAGGCGTGTAGACCCTTTTCTTTGTGACTTTTGATTTCTAGAGATGAAAATTAGGAAGTACACTATTTTTTTTCTGAAAGAAGCTGTTGCAGCTGTTGAATCCTCTATATCTTCCAGATTCAGATTTCTGTTTAACATGAGTAGCCAGTAAATGAATGTAGTGATATTACATCACAGTAACAGCATGGATTGTTCATGATCTTTCACGGTCCCTTTCAACCCAAACCATTCTATGAGTCTACGATTGTCCAGATAACTTGGTTTTGGTGCACTCAGGCATTGCAAAGAAGCTAAAATTTGTAATGTTTTTCTATTCAATGTACAGTGGGAGCAAAATACTTGATATACTTGATTGGGTGCATATTGATATACTTTTGATGGGTGAGTAAAGAAGGTTCCTTTAAATTAGTGCTGAATATTTATGAAATTTGAACATCTGTCATCTCAGGGTTTTTTGCTGTTAAAACCAGATGGGTATACAATTCCCAAAAGCAGCTTTGAGTAGGGTTCAGACAATGTGTAGCCGATTTATTACCTGTCTTCACAAACCTGATAGTTTTGGAATCTGGATTCAAATTTATTGTCTCAGTCAAAACAACTCATTATTTTTGGGCTTTTTTCATTTTAGGTATGAAACTGTGTTTTGTTTGCTTCTGGTAATATTGCATGTTTTAATATGAATTTCAGATGTGTGAAGTATTGGAGTTTGTTAGGATAGGAGTTGGGATGCAGATATTGTGTGAATTGATAACTTATGATGCTAAAAGGTCCTTATAAAAGTTCTGTGAAAGAACTGTAAGAGTAACTCTTACCTGATAGCATAGGAGTGCTTAACTCTTCCTACCCTAAAAAAAACCCAACACCAAACCCTGTTTTTTGTAATTAGAAATGCTCTTAAAATGGAGATCCTTGGTTTAGAGCATTTATTGCTAATATATATAATATTAGTTGAACCAATTTAGCATAAATAAAAGAGTAATTGAATACAGTGTAAATTACATGTATCAGGATACGTATATCAGGATATCATACTATTGTAATTTTCTCTTAAGTTTCCTTAATAGTATTTGAAATCCATATATAGTGTGATGATATTTACCATCTTAACTCACTGACCATTCACTCAGTTTGCTAAGCTGCAGCTTACTGCATTAATGGCCTGTGGAGCCATTTAGAAGAGATGGTTGTATATTTGTTTAAGTTGAGAAATTCTCATTTGGATTCTGACACACAGTTTTTGTTTGTTTGTTTGACGTATAGCCTTGTGACTTCCCTTCCATTTCAAGATCATCTTTTTCCAGTTGAGATTATTGTGCTGTTTATGGTTTACTGTACATGGACTGTTTTATGCACATTTGAGATTTCTGCTCAATTGAGAAAAGGGTGCGATAGCAAGGGAGGCTAAGCACTTTCACAGTCTTTCTGTCTCTTTCATGACATCGGGAATGTTTAGTGGTACAGAAGTTCTGGTGTAGAGTCAGTCAGGACTGACTGCTAGCATGGATGAGGCTCTACTGGCAAAGCTGTATTTTAGTCAAGCCATACCCAATAGGATCAAAATGTGACCCAGGTTAGAGTGCAGCCTTGTTGGTGTAATTGCTGCCTGCCACACCAGGAGCTTTCTAAAGTCCCATGAGGTCTAGCAGGGATTCCACCTATTTGTGCCCCTGGCATCCAACAAGACTGATGTAGACATTGTCTTGGCACTGGAACTGGCTCCCTAGGGAAGTGGTCACAGCGCCAAGCTTGATAGAGTTCAAGAAGCATTTTGGATAATGCTCTCAAGCACATGGTGTGATTTTTGGGGTGTCCTGTGCCAGGCCAGGAGTTGGACTTTGATGATCCTTGTGGGTCCCTTCCAACTCAGCATGTTCTGTGATTCTGTGCCTCCTAAGACCACTTTAAGTTCTTTACTCTTTCTTTCATAGGGCTCCTCGATTTAAGGGGTTCCAGCAGCAGGACAGCCAGGAGCTTCTGCACTATCTGTTGGATGCAATCAGGATTGAGGAGACAAAGGTAGTGTCTTCATGTGTCTTTTAAAGAACTTAATTGACTTTATGGTGAACTACTAGTCATTGCTTCAATGTTCTTCATGTTCCCAGTGTTTTAAAGATGTAGTTAATCAAGTAAGAGTGGCTATTTCTATTATCTTGAGAAAAATGATTACTTTTTTTGAAGGATGATTTAATTATGTTCATGGTGATTTGTTAAAATTGTTGATTGGAATGGAAGTTTCAGTTAGCAGTAGAAAGGGTATTGTAAGTAGAACGTGATAACTTTAGGCATCTGAGTTGTTTGCCTTTATTTAAAAAAAGAAAAGTATGAAAAAAGGACATCTGGGGAGTCAAGAAAGTAAATATATAGGACCTCTGATTTAGCTGACAGAATTTTAAAGCTTTGGAACAAAAATTAGCAGCTTCTAGCTGTGGGCCTGCCCACAATTTTAACTGCAAATTGTGAAAAGAAAAAAAGAAAAATCTTGCAAAGTTTCTTGTATCTCTTGGAAGTGTGAAGAGCTCCTTGCTTTATAAGTAAGGCGCTGCTTTTCATTGCTTAAAATCTACATCTAAGTATGCTAAGTATAGAAGCAGTTTGTTGTATTGAAAATGTCCTTGTGTGAGTTTTGTTGTTTCTTTTCCTTCATTACTTGTGCCTCCTGTATTGTTGAAAGAAAGTGTGTGTTTGCTTGTTTGAACTGTCTTGGACCATATCAGATTTAATCTGCCTGACTTAGTCTTGGACCCTTCTTTTCAGATGATATTTTGGTAAATAGGCTTTTCTAAGCCTCCTCTGAGGGAAGGCCTTAAATCTCATACTGACCAGCATACTTCCTCTTCCTTCTCATTAGTAACTTGATGAATGTCATGATCCTGAGTTGAATTATCTCACAGATAAGATGTAAAGTTGTGTCTGAGCCCAGTTTTGGGCACTAGAGTAGAACTGAACAAATCCCTGTCCAACCAGAATACTAATATATATGGGCCAACCACGTCCTGGGGGGCATCAGGCAAAGCATCGCCAGCCGATCGAGGGAGGGGATTGTCCTGCTCTGCTCTGGTGAGGCCTCACCTTGAACATTGTGTGCAGTTTTGGGTACCACAATATAAGAAAGATATTAAGCTTAATTAGAGAGTGTCCAAAGGAGGGCAACGAAGATGGTGAAGGGCCTTGAGGGGAAGCCGTGTGATGAGTGGCTGAGGTCACTTGGTCTGTTCAGCCTGGAGGAGACGAGACTGAGGGGAGACCTCATTGCAGGTACAACTTCCTCGTGAGGTGAAGAGGAGGGGCAGGCACTGATCTTTTCTCTGTGGTGACCAGTGACAGGACCCAAGGGAATGGCCTGATGTTGTGTCAGGGGAGGTTTCGGTTGGATATTAGAAAAGAAGGTTCTTCACCCAGAGGGTGATTGGGTGCTGGAAGTGGGGAAGTGGTCACAGGGAAGTGGTCACAGCACAAAGCCTGACAAAGTTCAGGAAGTGTTTGGACAATACCCTTGGGCACATAGTGTGACTCTTGGGGGTGATCCTGTGCAAGGCTAAGGGTTGGACTCGACGATCCTTGTGTTTCCCTTCCAACTCAGCATATTCTGTGATTTTGTGATTCTGTGGTCTTGTGAGGAGCATACTTGATCATAAACAGAACTGAACTGCAAGGAGAAACAAATAAACCTTGACAATGAAAATTTTTAGAAAATTATGTCTTGAACAGGGCACACAACAGAAGCAGGTAATTTCAGTTAAAAAACACTTGTCACGTTTTTGCAGCAGAAGGAAACTTTATTGTTTTATTTTTTGATTTTCTTATAAAAAAAGGTGGAAACTGTACTGACTCGACGAAAGAGGATTCACAGAAAGTAGGATTATTACAACAACCAAGCTTCTTCTCCAGTAGGAGCTTGTGTTTCCCCTCAAGTCAGTCTTCTGCTTCACCAGTGGACATGCCATCATTATGATAACCTGCAGTCATATTTGCCTTTTGAATTTTGCCATTTATTATTAGAGAGCAGTGACAGCTACAGTAGCTACCTCAAAAGAGTGATGGAAGATGGTGAGAATTCATGGTGACCTTCTGGGCAGTATTTCTGCTGCCCCATTACCAGGCAGGGAGAGGTGGGTCCCGCCCTGCCCTGCAATTAAACCCCACAGCTGCCCTAATGATGCATTACTGCAAGCACTTGGGATGCTCTGCCACAGACAGTAGTAGGAAAAACTCTCTCCCCCTTTCTCTCTCTTTCTTTTTCTTTAAAGTATCCCGTGTTTCAGGTCTGTAGATGGCACAAAACCAGCAAATATAAGGCCCATGGTGAGCACTGGCCACCGAGGTGGCCGGACACAGGCAGGAGCCCTGCAGCTGCCCCTATGGCCTGCCCACCACGTGGGCTCTGGCTGCAGCAACGGCTTACGGACACTGACCTTCCTCTTTCAAGCCACTTTTAAACCTCATTCTTGGAAGAGGGAACAACACTGTTGAAAGGTGACTGACTGCTTTGCCATCCACCTGTGAGAGCTGAATGTGGCCATCCTTGCTTCCCTACACCTGCCAGGATTGTTTTTAAACCCTAAGTGTTTTTATGAGAAATACATGTGATACATAACATGGCAGTAGTTATGGGACCTAACCAAAAATGACATTATATTTTTGTCTCTTCTGTGTGGTTTTGTGTCTTGTATCTGATACCAGTGCTGAACTTTTAGTTAGAAAGTTTAGTTAGAAAGTGTGTATGTACACAAGTGGATTTTTAAGCTGAAAGCTTGGCAATACGACAATAAAGATGACATAGCGTCTGCCGTTTCCAGCAATGTGGGCTGGAGATGGTTTCACACCAGGGCCTGAAGTGGCTGAACCCTGCTGCTAATTGATTAATGTCTGCTGCCATTGTCCACAGCACCCTGCCCATTCAAAGACTATGTCTTTCTTTGACCTAAATAAATGGTTCAACGAGCTAATCCCAACAAAAGGGTTGCTTATGGCCCTAAACCCATTTATGGTGCTCAACTTCATGAATTACCTATTGATTAATCCTTTTAGTATATTGTTGGCTTTAAGATGAACAAAGCTGAGCTTGGGGCAGCGGGAGTTAATTCACAAGCCAGGTCACATACTCATAAGGTCGGAGTATGACTGGTCTGATGGGTGCCTGAACTGCAAACCAAACCTCCAATGCTGTCTGTCATCCTCACACTTTTGTAACATTGTGGCCTGAAAGTGTACTTTGCTGCCTGGAAACAAGAGCCATTTATTAATCCTTTCCTGTTAGGACACAGGGTTCGAGTTGCTTGCAGACAGTTTGGTATCACCATTTGTCTCTTAGAATGGTACTTTGCTCTAAGTGTGACTTCAGTGACATGTTTAATTATAAATGTCATTTGCACACCAACGCGGGAGGCTCGTACATGTTCCTAGAGTTTGTGGATCAGATAGCCAGTACATTTGCCAGAAAAAGGGGAAGCACGGGTCATGCATGCTACAATGTTCCCCGTCAGGGGACCTGATTCATCCTTCTGCTTTCCTCTCTGCAGCATGTCAGATTGGGCTTTTTTACCAGCACGTGCTGTTCTGCTGCGAGGGTACACCTCACAGGAGTACAGCATCTCCTCACCCCGGGGCAGCTGAGAAAGAGCAGGGGCAAGTACTGCCCATCTGGAGGGGCAGCTACAGCCCATCATTTGTGAAGTTGCTTCTTTCTGATCCTTCTTTCAAAAATGTAGTTTTTAGGATTTTTTTGGAGCAAATATTGATAACATTTATATGGATTCATTGGAAGTTTTCTGTCTCTTGTAAGGTTTTCTAACATAACTCTGGAATGTGCAGTGTTAAAAAATAAAGAGAAGTAATGAGAATACTGCCCAAACACAGTCATTGAAGTCTGACTATTAAAAGTTCTTTAGCTGCCTTCAAGTGTTTTGTGCCCTAGTCATCAGTAATAGTCCAGTCTTCCATATATTTTTTCTCTCCAGTGGTGGAAGAAATGGACAGTATTTGTATACTGAAAATTCCATGGTTTCTTGATAACCTTTCAAGGGCCCTACAATGGTTCCCTTTTTAAGGGAAGGAAGTTTTTTGAATGGTTACCTACTAAAGTTAAGCTCATGTCATTTTGACATTGTTAGTGAATAACAACAGTAATTTTACAACAAAAAATTATGCTTATTTTATGCAAATAATACAAGATAATATCTAATAATATCTGACTAGTTTTTAGAATGCTTACACTTAGAATACTTAATTCTTTTTCTTACTTATAGCGTATACAAACTGGTATCTTAAAAGCCTTTAATAACCCAACTACTAAGACGGCAGATGAAGAAACTAGAAGAAAAGTCAAAGGTATGCAACTCTTTATTGAAAACTTTTAAAAACGCACAAGTCTTTAAATACCATTTTCTTTAGAACTGCTTATTGCAAACAGCAGTGCCGAAGTGCTGTAGTTACCGGACTTCTATTCTGTGTTACTTTAGTGCCGCCTAGTGTGTACCTAAAGTATAGACAGCTTAGTATGTGCTGACTTGCATCTTTGTATCCAGGATAAAGGCTTCCATGGTATTAATAATGCATCTTTTAATGATAGATAGAACTTAGTTTTCTTTTCTAAAATAGCCTGCTTCATATTTGTTATGCAGTCATAATTACTGTGTCACTCAGAGAGGCCACTTCCCGTAAACAAACCAATTTCTGTCACTTGACTGTTACTTTGAGCGCTCTAAATACAACTACAACGAAAAGGCATGTTTTTGTTCAAAACCAGTTTTTAATCTTTTTGCGTGTGTGTTTGCTTATTCAGTAGTTCTAATTTGGGGGGCTTTTTTTTAATTAAAGTCTCAGTGATTAAGATGTTTTGAAAGTCACCCTTCCCAAATCTGCAAAAGATAAGGCATAGAGATGTATTAGAACAGGCTTTTGTTTAATTTTTTAGAATTTTATAGTTGAAAAAAACATTTAGAAAGGGTGACAACCTGTCTGCTACCGCAGTCTCTATATCAAGGCAATACAGTAGTATGTATGCAAAGGGAAACAGATTTTATTTAAAAGGCTTCTTCTTGAGAGATACAGTTTTATTATTCTGTTACGTTAGGTTGGGAAGGGAAGGATAAAAGGCAACCTTCTCACTACAATATTTTTAAATGTTGAGATAACAGTATATGATGAACTAGTTATTGTATTGTGTTCTAAACATTTTAAATATGTTTAAAAATTGTGCTTTCATAATATATCTTGGAAAGAATTTTTTTTGTACTTATAGTGTGGCATTGGATCTGTTATTTTTCACATTTAAAAAAGGCAATGTTTTTTCAGCATATGGAAGAGAGGGTGTGAAGATGAACTTCATAGATAGGATCTTTGTTGGTGAATTGACTAGCACTGTCATGTGTGAGGAATGTGAAAATGTAGGTATTCTGGAATTTGGTTTGATGTGGAATAGATCACATACTGGTTTGATTATGTTGTCTTGGAAGTATAAAATTGTGTTGCCAATTTTATACTTGTTTGTTTGTTTGTAAAAACAAGATTTTATTGAAAGTTTTTAATTTGAAATTATTTATTCCTTCTTAAAAGCATTATCCTCCCAAACCTAAGAAGAGGGGTCCTTTGAATTGAAAAAGGATTCAAGTCCTGGGCTTGATTTTACATTTGACTTAAGGCTGGAGGTTCCAAATTCCATAATCATATGTGTTATACCCCAATGTTAATTGATATTTTTAAAACCCCTGCCTGTCTTAACACATAAATCCTCCTGCCTGCTCTTCTGGGATATACCTGAAAATTGGGAATTACTTAATTTGAATTAGTATGAGTGGGGAAATGCTAAAATTATTTCTTTTTCCTTGAAGTATGTTTTATAATTAACATAATAACCCCAATGAACAGCATATTCCTTTCATAATTAATATTACTGACATTTCATCATAAATGCTTTCCATGATCCTTATAATTTTCTTCAAGTTTGAAAGAGAAAAATCTTATTTGCATGACTTTTCTAATTGAATGTTATATTTGTGTTTGGTTGAAAACGTTCTATTTCATATTATAGAGATTAAGTAATCAATCTGAAAAATTAAGCACAGTCCTGCAGTGCCAGGTAAACTGTGATGTGCAGATTACACTTCAGTGTGCTACTAGTATCAATGAAGAACTTTGACTATATAAAAAATAGAGGTCGTATGTATTTTGCATGTCTCATTTATTTTTGCTGGATTCTTATATTCTGCCTGCACAGGACTTGGGAATTTGCTAGCTGTAGCTCTTTGAGGAAGAGTTTAGCATTCGTTTTCCTTTGCCTGCACTGGCAAGATATTTTTGATTCATGTTTGTTCATGCAAACTGACACTTTAGAGGAACCCCTGTTTGAACGTCGCCCCTCAGGCAGTCAGCCTCCATAGTTGCAGTGCTTTTGATCTCATTAATTGCTTTACTGGAACCTAAACCATCCTGATTCCCTCACACAACAGGTAAAAATAAGCCTGCAGTCCGTATCAAATGTCACAGGTGGAAGACTGGGTCACAAATACAAGAGAAGGGACAGAGTGACAGTAATTGAGGGCATGACTGTATTCAATGACTTAAATGTACAACATGATTTTTACTGTTTTATTTTTAAGGTTTTGTTTTTCAGTCTTTCCAGAGGTAAGATAAGTCAGTTTTGGAAGGATTGAGGACAGCAAGGGAGAGAGCTTGAGGAACTTAGTGATAAAGGCAGATGGAAAGTGCTGGAAGAGATTGTCTTTAGGTATGCTTTGAAAGATATTTCCAGCTTATACATGGCAAAATAAAACCGCAATACAAAAAAGAAGGCTGATTTTTTTTTTTAATTCCCTTTTCCCCAGTAATTGGATCTATTTTAACAAAATCTAACAAAGCTTTTAGCTGTAACCAGTAATACTGACTTAATCTTAGCTGAGACATGAGGTTAGAACCTGTCACCTAACTGTCATTAACCAGTCCCTGCTGCATAACAGTGTACAAGATCAAACGCCTGTGCAGAAGAGTCCAGAATCAGGAAACTCTAAAAGGTAGCTTTCTGCAAAATTATACCAGAAAGGCCCACATGGCTTGAAAATCTGTCTGAAGCTCAGAGAAACTGAGCACCAAACTGCATCTTTGTCCAGTTCATGCTCAAGTGAATGGCCTTGCCCTTTGTGACTGTATGCTGAAATTTTGTGCAGTGTTAGAAAGAAAATTAAAGCTAATGTAAAAAATTTTTTAAAAAGTGGGAAGTTCTTCATTGTAGTTTTATATATCTTGAAACTAATTAAATTCTTGTATAGTTTCTGATAATAAATTGTTTAAATAAAGGGAGCTGTGTACTAAACCTGTACAATGTTCTTTGTGTTTAAATGCATTTTCTCTTTTTCTTCAAGATTTCAACAGTAAAAGAACCTTTCATTGATCTTTCACTTCCTATAATAGAGGAGAGGGTAAGAAACAGAATATGTAATAAGTAACTATTGCTCCTAGTGGATTGTTTCTACATACCTTTATGAAGATATTTATGTATTTACACAGAGTTTTGATTTCAAGACTAAAAATGTAACCTTGTCCATAAATACGTGTACTGTTATACATCTGTTCATTATAGGATTTTCTTTGTATGAATAGACATAAAATGTCTTAAGTGCATATATTTTTAAATTAGTCCAAACTTGGACCAAATGATCTTAGTAATGTATAGAATATATAGGTCTGAGATTAGCTTAATTGAGTAGAATATACTTCTATGAATAGAATGATTATAAACATTTTTTTGGAGGTTCAGCAAGTTAGATTCTCATCTGTTGGTTTGCACGTAGAGAACTGGAGTCTCTTGGGTTGGAGTTTACCTACAGGATGAGACACTGTAAAAATGGATATTGGAATATATTTATTCTGGTATTTTCAGCATTTCACAGAATACTTCCATTAGCGGTGGAGGAACTGTGTTCCTTTGAAGGCATATACTATGGTTTTGCAGGACTTGGGGTTTTCATTTGAGAAAGTGGGTGTGGGTTGGGAGTGGTTCTTCCACCATCCTGCACATATTCATCTGTATTTAAGGGAGAGTATTTAATGTAGCATTTATTCCTGTATAAAATGTATTCTTCTCCAAACACCAGTTTTGCTTGTAACAAATTTGGCATCTTTGTTGGTGCATTGAGTGCAGATGCCTGCGGTAGTTAAAGCTTTAAGAACGTTTCGTGTATCTGGGCTCTTGTGCTTCCTGGTTCCCATGTGGAACACGGGAACTCTGTGGGCTTTCTTTGGGAGCCGTTTTTGTGGGCGTTTGGCAGTTGCTGCACTTACTTGAGGATGGGCATTACTTTATGGTTTTTGCTTTCCTCAACAGTTCAGACACACTGCTGCCAGTAATGTGATGGGGGGTGTGTGGCAGCTCCTTGACCATGGCATAAGGGAGTTGGCTACACCAGAGACTGACTTACGGGAGCTGTGTCACCTTTGATTACGTCACATCTCATACAGCTACGCATGTCCTTATAAAGTAATAGATTATTTTGTGTTGTATTATGTACAGGAATTTTGTGTCATTCCTATTCCTTCTGCCTTTCAGTTGATCCTTCAAAGACTTTGACAGTGAGTTTATGGTAAAAAAATTTTGAAGGCTAGTTAATTGGTTTTATGTAGGTCACTGTTTTCTGAAGTAAAGGAAAAAAACCCCACCTACATTCATCTTTCTCTAGGTTGCAAAGGAATACAAAATTGACATAGTGCCTTTCCTAATTTCCTGTTTAATTTCTTAGGTTGCAAAACCCATGCCTTTGGGAAGAACAGGTAAAGGTAAAAGCGTACAGGAGGCAGATCTTGGTCAGTATAACTGTTCTTCTATCAGTACACTGAATAATCAACCCAAAATTGTCAAGAAACACACTTTAACAAAAGATAAGGTAAGAACTTAAATATACTAACCAGTCATCTTGAGCTTATTCTGAAGTTTCTAGGGCAACTGGGAATTTCTAGGGAATTTTGATACCTATTAATGGGGGGTTTTTTGTATATGTGTTGCTGACATAAACTTGTTTTAAAATATTTAGGTCATTATTAGAAGCGTGAGGAATGACAGTTATTGGTAACCATTTATTTTTCAGTTACAGGGTTTCCTTTGTCAGGAAAAGAAAATCTGCAAACTAGTTTCAATTCATGTTGATTTTGGGACTATTGCAAGGGTCTGTGCCCAGTTGGGAACCATAAAAACTCTTCTGAATCAGGTCCTAACACATTAAATACACGTGAAGAAAAAATACAACAGAATGGCTATATAAAAGCATTATAAGAGAAGAGAATGAGACAGAAGTAGAAAAAGGACATGTGGTACAAACAAAGGACGAGGGGAAAGAAGTAGTGCAGAAACTGATTGTTGTAGGAGAAAAGGCCTACAGCTCAAACTACTGAGGTGAATGGAAGGATTCCCACTAGCACCACTGGAATTTTGATCCAATTGAAATAACGGAAAAAACAAAGGGGAAGGAAAGTTGCTAATTTCTGTTGGAAAGTAGCCAAACAAAAGAAGGAAAAAAAAGAATCATGAACGCTTTTTATCTAAATCACTTTATATCTAAAGGAGTAGTTTTCTGTGGCAGCAACCCTTTTCTTTCTTCTTGCAATCTTGATTTAAAAAAAATCAACTTCAGGTAATATACAAATTAGCAAACATCCTACAAGGGATGCTTTAGTTAATTCGACAACAAGTGCCTACAAGGTGAGTTGAATTTTCTTCTGGAACCTCTCATCGACTAAGGCCTCTGACGGGAGGCCAGGGACTAGCTTAAACCTGAGACCCTTTTTTAAATTAGATTAAGTGAATACCACTTCAAACATGCCATCCACAGCTGTCACAAAGTGAAAGTTATTAGTTGTGGGAAGTATTGATCTCACAGTAAGTATAATGCTCTTAGCTGACTGGGGTGTAGGTTTCTAATCCTAAATCAGTTTAAAAAGATCTTAGGGAAATTGACTAGCTTAAACATGTGAGAGATGGAGAATATAAAACAATATAACCCCCCAATAATGTGCTTTGAATTTGTCATGTTTCAAAAGGTATGTTAGATTACAAATCTATTTTCTGAACGCATTACTTTTATTACTGAAATAATAATGCCATAATTTACAGAACCAATTGAACCATGAGAGACGGCTCGCCAGAAAAGCTTCCTTGAAGGAAGAAGAAAGAAGTCCTGTTATCATGCAGGAAAAAACCAAAAAGCTTGAGCTGGAAGGTAGCTCTGGCGTCCTGTACTCCAAAGACACAAGTGCTGACTCAGCTGTCAATGGCAGTCAGACAGAGGGCAGTGAGAAGGAAGCCAGCCGCTCTGAAAGCAGCTTTGATGCCGACAGTGAAGCCTCAGAAAGCGAAAGTGCTTCTAAGCAAACAACTTTGAGCCCATCCAGCCACACATCTGGTTTGCACGTCAACCACGTAAATGTTAAAATGCCGCACAAAATGCCAAATGGCAGTAATGAAGAGGTGATTTCCAGTGCCATATCCAAACTTGGCTTCTGTGATCCAATAAATGAAGATAAAAAATCGAGCCGTGGAGATCCAGCGTTAGGTTTATCAAATAATTCTGTGTTCTCAGTAGATAAATCTTCACTATCCCAAACCCCTCAAAATGCTTTCCAGACGCTTTCCCAAAGCTACATAACTAGCTCAAAGGAATGTTCTGTTCAGTCCTGCCTTTACCAATTCACCTCTGTAGAGCTCTTAATGGGGAACAACAAGCTTTTATGTGAGAACTGCACGGAAAGGAAACAGAAGTATCAGAAGAAAACCAACTCCACAGGTAAAGTGCTTGTACCTCTCTGGACAATTTTCAGCATTTCCTCCCAAAATGTGTTCGCTGGCTGCTGTTCCATTGCTCCAGCACAGGCCTCCCCACATTGTGGCTAAATAGAAAATGTCTCCCCAAGCAGAACTTGCTTGTAGCAACTCAAAACTTCATCAGGCAATGGCAACAAGACTAAATTTTGTATTAGAACATAATCATAGGTGTAATGTAAAATTTATTTTGCATCTTTATTCTATTCAAGATAAGGAACTTAAAGATGACCATAGACTGAATATGTGCATTGCCTCATACTAATCTTTACTGCTGTTTCTGTTCCTTACGGTCCTCAAAACTTTGAACTAAGTGCTGTAATATTCAGCCCCAGTAGCTTGTATACTCAAGGAAGCAATGTTATTAAGTGTGGAAAAGGGGCAAAAAAAGACACTTGCAATGAAGAGGGGAAAAAAACTTCCAAAGATTTGTAAGACTGGAGATGAGAGACAACTACCGTCTTGTGACAATGTTTTCCTTGATGTTTGTGTAGCACAAGCAGACCATTACAGTTCACTAAGATTTAATGGAAAATAAAAAAAAAATAATCCTCCAGTCTTTTGAAAAAGTTTATGTATAGACATTCAGAAGGTTAAAAAATTAAGCTCTTGTGATTATTTATAAATAAAATATAAAGGGAGGTAACAAAAATTTCCACCTTTGCCCTGCCTTTATAGATACATGGAGAGATACAAGTTAAGCATGAGTAAATTCAGAAAAATTAATCTAAACATAGTATTTTACAATAATTTCTTTATCATGATTGGACTTGGTTCCATGGGCACCATGAAAAATGGAAAAGGAACATCAATTTACAATTAATCATTATTTATTTTTTCCTTCTAAAACTAAAGATGTAAGAAGTCACTTTTACATTAAATGCTCTATTTTACCTCAAATGAAATATTTTCCTTTGAACATGCATAAAACTAGTAAATTAATTAATCTTTTCAGCAAAAATGAATGCTGATAGCATATTCCCTTTTACTGAGTAGCTAACCCTGAGCTACTTTTGGTAAGAGCCCTGTGTTCAGTGTCCTCTCCACATAGGGGGACTGGAGTCCACATATCCCAATCCTGTGTGCTCAAGCCAGCAGGTTATGAGGCATCCTGAGGTAGACAGCCCTCCTTAGATCTTTCTCTTAAATATGTATGAAGTATGTAGTCATTCAGAAAAAACTGAATAATGGAAAATTAAACTCTTAGTGATTAGGACATTAGCATAGATAAAGATCACCCATGCCTTCCAGTTTTTGTCCAGGGATCGTCCATCTATTTCAGGTTTTAAGAGAAAAGCTGGATGCTATAGTAACAGAGAGTGTAGTTGTGCAAGCTGACCTAGATAGTGTACAGGCTTCCAACTCTTGATCTGATTTGCACAAGACTGGCTAAAATAATGCTCAGATTTGGCAGATTATGGTTATTAATAACTAGAAAAATGAGAAAACATTTTTCTGTTACTCTACAAAATTTCCCTTGTCTTTTATATAACAAGTACAAAATCATTGCTACATAGATCTATTCTGTCAGATGTTTAAAAAATACTTTAAAAATTCCATGTGTCTGCCTTCACTTTACAAGTTATTTTGATACTCATAAATACAGAAAAGAAAATGGAAGGTGTCTACACAAATGCTCGGAAACAGCTTCTGATTTCTTCAGTTCCTGCTATTCTTATTCTCCACCTGAAAAGATTCCACCAGGTAAGAGGCTAAACCCCTCTTGTACATTCCTCTGCCCCTGGTGGACAAGCAGTCCTCTAAGTGTTGTGCATAGCGATACTGGCTTTTTATAAGGAGACCTGGTAGAACCACTATTTGAAACATGCTGGTGTTTTTGTGATTGTTGTTACACCTCCAGGGAAACGTGTCCATCATGCTTATATATAGAGTGTGGTGGGTTCAACACAAGCAGACACCGTATTGAAAAGATAACAGAGAATGTTTAAATCAGTTACAGTCTTATTCTTGGATTTGGTTCATTTTAATAATATAGTGCCACACCTTAGCTTTAAAAAGCTTCCTAGTAAAAATATATATTTTACAGTCTCTTTTTTTCTTCTTTTCCTTTGAAGGCTGGTTTGAGTCTACGGAAAGTAAACAGGCATGTGGATTTCCCACTGATTTTAGATTTAGCACCATTTTGTGCTGCATCTTGCAAGGTACCCATTTCAAATCTTTATTTTTATTGTGCTTCAGGAGTTGTCTGACCACAAGTGAAACTGGATTGATGATGATGATGATGATTCCTTCCTTTCCTAGAGACATTATAGAGTGCATTTTTCACATAGTGTCTTGAGATCAAAATTGTAACTATTTGCAATTCCATTCATATCAAGAATATCACAGATGTGAAAGTGTTAACTGATACTAGTTAACACTAGTATTAGTTAAGCTATGGTGCTCTGATGGTGTTAGTGTATCTAACAGCATTAAGGACAAGTATTATTGCAAAATATAACAAAATTCAATTAATAACATTACTACATATTTGTAATAGATGTATTTCACCACTGGAAATGTCTGTTTTCTTCTTTTGAAGTAATACTGTTGATAGCTAGTTAAGATACCTGTAAAATTCCTTGTGAAATAACTGACCTTTGTTTTCTGTGTTTCTGGGAATGCAGAATGTTACGGATGGTGCAAGAGTGCTCTATAGCCTTTATGGAATAGTGGAGCACAGCGGGTCAATGAGAGGTGGTCACTACGCGGCGTACGTGAAAGTCAGGCCATCCTCCAAGAAATTACTAGAGCATATTTCTACCACTAAAAATGTTTTGGGTATGTACAAACAGAGCCTCCTTTGCCTCTCTGTAAAACCAAAAGCAACCGCTGTCCACAAGGATTTATAGCAAATAATTTTTTAGCTTATACTATTCTGTAATTTTTAGAGAAGTCATAGAAACCCCATCCCTGAAAGTGTTCAAGGCCAGGTTGGGTGGAGCTCTGAGCAACCTGTTCTAGTGGAAGGTGTCCCTGCCCTTGGCAGGGGTGTTGGAACTAGATGATCTTTAAGTTCCCTTCCAATCCAAACCAACCTATGATTCTATAAATTATTCTTTTTTTGTTGCACCCAGTACATAACCTACTTCTGCTATTAATTCCATATAGAGCTGAGTGAATAATGGAATTTTGATTCAGTTATTAAACAGAGAATTTACAGAACACTCTCATCTCTTTCCTAGTCAAAATAATATGTCCAGATGAATAGTTGTGCCTGGTAAAATGCAATTATTTGGCATATTTGGTATTTGAAAATATTTTAGTACAAGAATCAAATCTATGACATTAAATGAAATGAAATTTTCCAAATATTTGGGCTTTTTATGTATTTTAGGATTGGAAATATTTAATGCTTAAAATTCTGGAATCCTCTGGTTTAATGTGAACAGGAAGAAGCTTTTTCATGGCGGATACAAGGTTTGGTGTAGGGTTTCTATTGGTATTTTGAGAACAGCACACTAGTTCTTACTAATATTTTTTGGATATGCAGAATGAAATAAGATTCCAAGATAGAATGTGTTAGTGAAAGATTTGTTGGGGCAGGAATATGTCAAGCTGACCAAATTAAGTAAATATATTTACTATTTCCCTTCTTGGGGAGGAGTGAGAACCAAGCATTATCCTGTCTATCCTGTGAGGTATCACTTTGCATTTGAAGCTCATTTCCTATTTTACATTATTTTTCAAACCAAAGTTTCATTCAGTCTTATGCTTGTCTTGCAGTGATTATTGGAACAGATTAGATGTTTTTGTGTTCTTAATTTCACACTGGTCAGCTTTTGAAATAAAATGAATGCTTGGGGGTTAGAAGCTTCTCTTGCTATTTGAAATAATCCAGTGTATGTGTTTGATGATGACTTGAAAGACAAGAAACATCTTCTTTTGCTTCTGCATTTCAGGTATAAAAGAAGCCATGGGAGCATCAGGAGGACAGTGGGTGTACGTTAGTGATGCCCACGTTCAGATGGTTCCAGAATCGAGAGTACTCAATGCACAAGCATATCTACTTTTTTATGAAAGATTATTACTATAATTCTTAACAATTTAATTTCAAAGATGGTAGTGGGTACTTAGTTTATCTTATTTAAAGCTGCAGTGGTAAGAGTACCTGTAAATATTGTGCCTTTATCTTGTAGAGAATTTATCATCTGTTGGCTCTGAAGTTTAGTCAAGCTATTATAAATATGTGAATGGTTCTCTTAAAGTAAGCACTTTGCCAAACATTTAAAATTCCTGAGTTCATTAAAATGCAGTACCATTAGAATGTAAGATTATGTCCTATCCTACTGAGGTCTAGGGAAAGTTTGTTTTTTATTATGAAAAAGATAAGCTTTCACCCATAGTTCTGGAACAGCTGAGAATAGAAATGCTGATAGTGTTAAGTGCCTGGATTTGCTGGTGTACAGTAACAATACAAAGTATTTCAGCTTTCTGTGATCTAGTCCAGATCCTTCCCATCACTGGGTTGGATGTCAGCTTGTTAAGTTTTCTGCAAACAAGAACCTGCCAAATCATGTCTCTTCCATGTTTAGTAACTGGAAAGCAGTGTCCTTCCAGAATGGAGCAACAACAGCTGTCTGGGTAATACTTCAGTGAACTTTCCTGATAAGATTGGGAAAACGTGGCTTCTACAAAGTGACAGTGAATCCTCAGATACCCAGTACCCTTTCAGCTGTCTCCAGCTGGCACTGGTATAGCAACGTACTCCTGTTTCAATATAAATATGTACTTGGTGTGCATACGTATATCCTCTGAGATATATACACACACCAAAATCCATCACTATATATTCTCATCCTACCTAGTAGGAAAGTGATTTGCAAATACTTCCGTATTTAGTTATTTTTCAACCTCATAATTATGACAATGTACAGCATATAAGCTTGTATATGTACAGAGTTTAAGCATAACTCGGTAAATTCTGTTACTTTTGGTTCCAAACATGAATTTGTTTATCTGTTCCTGAATACTTTTCTCACAGGAATAAACTGTAAATTCTTTTTGCACTGTGTGTGTGAGTTGGACAGTAAATTATGATTTTTGCTCTCTGGACTTCCTTTTGTCAGCTGTGGGGGACAGCAGGTGTCCTAGTGGCAACTGGTTTCTGTAGAGTGTTTTATTGCCCTGGTTTGAGTTGTTACTTCTTTAGGTAATTTCTCATTTCCATCCCAGTGAGTAATAGATGCATTTTAAGGTTAAGAACTGATAACTACTGTGAAGTTATGTGGTAATTAACTTATTTAATAAGCACTTACTTAAATACAAATTACTTCTGTAACATTTCCATTCTGTCTGGCTTGCTCTTTGGTAGAGAAAAAAAATGTTTATTTCTGCTTACTGTTTTCATTTATGGAAATGTGGGGTTTTTGTGGGTGGGCTTGGGGGTTTTTTGTGTGGGAAAAAAAAAACAAACCCACAAAAAACCCCATGCCATCCCTATTACTATCTCTACTGTGTGTTGCCATACCTACCTGCCTGACTCTCCTGTTCTCTAGTTCTGTTTCAGAGCTTTGTCCCACCTGCATTCACTCTTTTGCATAAGAAAATGGCACAGTCTGCAATAGCCGCATTTGCTCAAACTGCTGAGGTATATTTTACAGTCACATTACTTGCACATTCCTGTGCAGGCACTAAGGATTGTTGGGCCGTACAACTGATTGTCATAACAGAGTGAGCCCCCAGTTGCACAGGATTTTATTTTCCGAAGGAAAACTCCTCTGTTTAGGTCAAAATTAGGCTATGCGGTTTGGCTGAAATGATAATTTTTTCCTTCCACAAATTAAAATTGTTTCAGTCCACACAAAAGTAATAAAACTCAGAGAAACCAAGCAGTCAGCTTTAGCCATCTGTATTCCTAACCACATCTTAACCTGCATCTGCACTAAGTAAGTAAGTAAGTAAGAAAGAAAGAAAGAAAGGAAGGAAAATAATGTTTAGATTAGAGTTGGTTCAAGTACCTTAATTCTCTTTTAGCTCCTTATCGTCCCATACCCTGCGTCTACCTACACACACCTTCCTCCTCGTTGTATGTAACTGATTGAAACTTCTAATTCTGGGTAACAGTCATAGTAACTAGCAACTAAGTTTCACTTCTGTGATATAATCTTGCGAGGGGAACACAGATGAGTTTATTTCCTCCACTTTAAAGCAGACAGACCGAGTATTCCTCGTTTTTCTGACTTGCGTAAAACTGCTGAACTTAAGTAACTGTATCAATCTCCTACTTTTTAGCCTAGATCTACCTCCCTAGACTGCAAAACTAGGAGAGAAACAGAACAAGGTTCTTGACCTGTTACTTCTTATTTTTAATGCTATTTTCAGGAAATTCTTGGGGTGGTCTTCGCTTCTTTTTAACTGGAGTTTACAAACTGTTTGAGCAGCTGAAATTTTCCCAAGTGGACATACTGACTAGGATGCCATAAAAGATGCTGGCAGGATTATCTCATTAACAGCCAGGGAACGTTTCCTTGTATTAAGGTATTTTATAGAACATGGAGAGAAAGTGGCATGAAAAAACCCAACGCCTTTATCCAAGATAGCCATCACTGTTGCTCCTGAATGAAGCTTTTTGAGTTGAAATATTAGCAGGAACTCTGGTAAGCTCAGAGTCAGGAACAGGTATGAAAATATTATAGATGTAAATATTCTCTAAAAATGAGGGCAACAGGTGAAGTTATGCCTTCAAAATGAAAAAAATTACAACTAATGCAAGATGTCATATAGGATTTTAGATGCAAGTCACAGTGTCCTTTAAAACATAGGTTTGGGTGTGTGTGGGGGGGTGTGTGTGTATGTAAAATTTGGCTCCAAAGCAACTGATTGTACATAAATGTGTATACTGAAGACTTGTTATAGTTCCTTATCAGGAACTGCAAGAGAAGCTCATAGCATTCTGGGAAAACAGGGGTGTACACCCTTTGTGTGCTAGAATTCTATAGTCTAGGAACTTGCAGTTTCCTGCAACTGCCAACTGTGTACATGCTATTGAAAAGCTACATGTTTTCAGAATTTAAGTGAAGGGCTTGAAAGTTTAAGCCTACTTAAAATATCTCATTTTACCAACCAAAAATATTTTTAGGCCTACAGTTTCTACTCTTTACAGAGCTACACCATACTTTTGTAGCCACCCATCCTGAGAAAGTGCAGTAGCCTGCATCTTCACGTGGAATAGCTTCAAAATGGCTTTCTCTTTGTACTACCCTTCTCACAAGGGCAATGATGTTTTCTTCATCAGCCTCATCTGTTCTTTTTGTTTTCAGGGTCTCCATAAGCCTCTGTGTCAATGTTTTTCCTTTCATTGATCCTCAGCCATTATATAGTGGTTCCCAGTCCCATCTCCTGTTTTCTGTGAACTCACAAAGCTCTTACAGGAAGAGCTACTGTAGCTGAAATCTGGCCTGTCCCTACCACCACGCTGGCTCTGCCTACGGACTGCAATACAGGTAATTGAGAAAAGCTGTGAGACCTGAGCAACTCTCTGCTGACCAGTCACAAGACAGCACCTTTAAAACAATGAGGAAGAATGCAAATTAAGTATTTCCTCATTCCTCACTAAGTAAACCTCATTTATGGGAAGTACTTGATTTGCATATGGACAATTGGAACCCTCTACAAAAGTTTATCCAAAACAGAGGCATCAACAAAGTCTGCTGCATCAACTAAGGAGTTAGTACAGATTATAAATCCTTTTTGCTCAGAAAGAACTTTGTTATCTTTGGATTTATATAATTGATGCCAAATGTGGCAAAACGTGATGGGAAATTTTATTATACTAACCCACCTACCCCAGTACATGTACAGACATCACATTTGCATAAGTCTATTCTCCTAAGAGAGGGCTACAAATAGCGGTGAAGGAAAAACAAACAAACCCTGAACTTTGCTGCCCAAAATGTACACACTGTAATTGCCTTGGTTTAGAAAATGAAATCCACGCAGTCTGCCAAACCTTCCTCCCCTTCCCCATCTGCACCCTCTGTGTGTATCAATGAAGTGCTCTTGCTTACGGATTTCGAGTGGTAGCAGGTGAGAGTGGTTTATAAATTCATTAAAAGGCTGAAATGTCTTAGCTTCACCATTTGCTTCTCTTTGGACTTCTTTTTTATACCAACACAAACTGAATCAAAAAAGGACATGAAATTAATGCATCTACATTCTCAACCCACTATAAAAATCTTATTTGAACATACTGGTAACAAACTAAGATTTGGAAAGGAATATTTTCTTGAGGAGAAACTAAGATGTATTAAAATGGGAACAAAGCATTTGAATACAACTCTTCTGTTAGGAAAAATTAACAAATCCAATTTTAACGAATATAGCACACCTGAGAAAAGAGCTTTACAGCAGCCTTGATTAAACAAAGATCTGATATTCCTCAGTTTTCAACAGCTGGACACTTTTGCTGTACCCTGTACACATTTGTGCACCTGTACAAAGATTTACATATCCATGTAAAAGAAATGCCACCGATTTTCTGTAGAACTGTTTCATTCCAATTTATTTTAGAATGGATTATTGTTTCTTCTGTATCTATTTACCATGTCTTAGGCTGTCATTTTGCCAGCTGTTCTACCTGTTTGTACCTTTCCCGTTGGTGTATAAACAAACTGCAGAAATGGTGGGAAACTGATTATTCAAAGTGATTCATAATCTATTTTTTTGTAAAGGGAGATTATAAAATGTATTTTCAGCTGGATGTCTGTTAGTGCAAGTCAAAGCACTTCCCTTGCACAAGATTATATGAAAAGTCTAAGTGAATTTTTATGTTACAACATTTGCAATGCATTGCAACTACTTCAAGGCTACTTGATATACATTTCACTTATATAAAGTCATAAATACCCTTGTCTTCATGGATAGCAGTAGAAAAACTAACTTTTTAAGTGTCAAGAATGTTTCTTACATCTATGGCAGTTTCCAGTATTTTTCTAGTGCTGCTTTTAAAAGAAAACAGAAAAGCACTTGTTTTGAGTAGGCTTATGAGTTCTTAACAATTGCCTCCTTTCTTTGCTAGCTTAGGGGGTTTTTTGGTTTTCAGCTGTGTAACCTAGGGATCATTGCAGTGAACTGTAATGAAACCACCATGTCAATGGCTGCCATTCCCTATTTAGCCATTCCACAAAGTTGAGTTCTGATTCTACTGTCATTTATGCATAGGGATAATCCCTGATATGTTCATGTGTGGCTGTACTTATACAAAAGACAATCCAATTAATCAAAAAACCTGTTGCTAAGTCCAAAATACTTGTGAGCAATAAAAAGTTTCATTTTGTTTTCATTCATTTCCTTTTTTTCATATGTTTGAACCAATAGTCTGTCTCTTCTCTGCAGGTATTTAAGTAACAAATAGTATTTTTAGAATTCTACTACAGTACTAATACATGATGTATTTTATATGTAGATTTCTAATTCCAAATATTACTAAGTAAACAGGGTCTTACAGACTGTATTTAAAAAAACAAACACAAGTCTGATCAGTTTTCCAGTCTATCCGAGGTGCTTTAACAAGTTTCTCAGAGTAAAGCTGCCATTTGTCATCTATTAATTTTGTCTTTTCTTCTGTTATATAGTATTTGACAAACGTGAATAAAACATCCAGCCATTTGGAAAATTACATTGTTTATAAGCTGTTTCTTGTACAACTGAGTTCACATATTTTTTTCCTTTCATCTTGTATGACAACATCACTGCCCATGGAAGAGCTCCCTAGAGATGAGTCCGTATCCTTGAATACTTTAGCTACCTGGCTTGTTTCCCCTGGCTTGCCATCTGTGGCACAGGGCACAGATTAAGACACAGTTTGTTCCCTTTACAAGAACTGAGTTCTGTAATTCTGTGGTAAGACCAGGACCAAGAGTGGGGCTCCCTCACATTCCCAGTTTCAGTAGTGGCTGAAAGCTTGCCCATCTATAAGCACCACTCCATGGTTCCAGATGGAACCTGGAACTTGGTTCCCTGTTGTGTCAGTCATCACTAGACAGACTTAAAACCTGTGCAACACTCCTGTCCATGGAAAGCCCTCTCGATCCTGCCATTCCTTGCGACACAGAAAGGGAAAAGTCCAGAACATTCCAAATAACAGTAACATGTAGCATAAGTGGCACCGACAAATCTTACACTGAAATCAATACAAAAGTTTCTTGAAGCTTTTGATTTTTTATAGATTTATAGGGGGTAACTTGCTCTGTTACTCTGTGTGGGTGTTAATGTTTACTTTATGCAGTGATCAGAGAGATTGTGGATGTTTTAGGCATTTACATCCATGACGCTAAAGGAAGGGG